TGCAACTAATAAAAACTATGTTATCATATTTGAAGATGGTAGCCATATTTGCACTTGCTTACGACTCACCAACAGAGGTCTTTTTTGTCGCCACTTTGCAAAAGTTATGATGATGTCTCAAATTGCGGCTTTTCATATTCTTATGATTTCACAATATTGGTATTCTGATGAATATTATTTAAAAGTGGATGAATCGTTAAGATCTCAACCAGCAATTACTTACAAAAATGAAAGTGCTATTTTAACATCCAATTTTATATTTAATTTGGATCCTATAGATTCAAATTCTAATGTCTCATTTAGTGTATCAAAGACACTTAATACTTATCGTGCCTATGGAATTACAAATAGCCTTTGTAAAAAGGCCATAAACGTTAGATTAGATGCTAGACCTCTTGCTATAGAGACACTTAATGAGTTTTTAAAAAATTTTATTCGACAATATTTCATGGATTCTAATCAGCAATCATTTATCAACACTGTTTCAAATATTGTTTCAAAAAAAATAATGAATCAAGCGATCTGAAAGAAGATCAAGAAAATATCTCACAATTTGATATATCAAATGTTCAAGATCGGGTAGTTAAAAGGTGTAAAGGGGCACCAAGAATTAAACATATTAAAAGCTCACTTGAATTAAATGCTCGATCAAGTACTAAGAAGGAAACAACACAATTTTGTTCCTGATGCAAACAACCTAATCATTATGCTAAAACTTGCACCATTGTTCTTTGATTATACAACTATATATAAGGTTAGTATTTCTGATTGTTTGATTAATTAATTAGTAATATTTAAGTGTATATGTTTGTTAGTTGTAAGCAAATTCAAAATGGTTAGTCTGTACTATTTACTAACAACATATTTGTGTATAATTAAATGCAAGGAAATGTGTAAGCTGTGCTTAGATTTTTTTTAAGCTCTGGGTACTACGATGATTCTTCGTAAGAATAAGGAATTATGTAGTAAAATATAGTTATTACGCTTTATTGAAGTTTATTTCTGTTGTATTATTTCGATTTTAGTTAATAAATAAG